GGGGCGCGGGGAGCGGGCTCCTCATTGTGCTCTGCGGGCACGCAGCGCCTCCCGATTGGCTGCCTAGGCTGCACCTCCGGCCTCGGCAGAAAACCTTGGTGGACTCTGACCCAGATTTCCGGAAGTCCTTTTTTAAAAAATATTTTTAAAAAATATATTTGTCCTCTTGATTTCAGAGAGGAAGGGAGAGAGAAACATCAATTATGAGAGTCGTGGATCGGCTGCCTCCTGCACGCCCCGCACTGGGGATCGAGCCCACAACCCGGGCATGTACCCCGACCCGGAGTCCAACCGTGACCTCCGGGTGCCAGGTGAGCCAAGCAGGCTGGGCTGGGAGGTCCTACTGTCCGGCCCTCCCTCCGGTGTCACCCCACTTTGTCATTGGCAGAACCATGGCCCCGCCCGCCGCCCCAGCCCCGCCCTCGCTCCGGCTCCAGCCACACTGGCCTCCTCTCCGTTTCCGGTGGTTTTCCAGAGCTGCGGTTCTGCTCTCTCTCCATTTACTAGTAGATGGAGGGCTGAACACCCCCAACCACCCCCCCACACACACACCTGTAGGGGCCTTCCCCAGGATCAACCCTGGTAACGTTACTTCCTCATAGAGAATTTGAATTTTTTTTAATGCATTGCCACCGCTTCAAAGTTAGGCAACTTCACGTTCGGTGTGAGAATCTGCGCTGCTCTTGATCAAGGGACCTGGTGACACCCGTGGGTGACACGTGGGGCTGGGCAAGGAGGCAGAGTTCAGGGAATCCCTGCCCAGCCTAGACATCTGTCAGTGTGTCCAGCAGGGGATGGGAGCCAGGTCCCAGGAGAATTACCAGCAGTGTTTATGGTACCTTATTCTTCTTAATTCTCACCCGACTACATGCTTTTTTAGAGAGAAATATCAGTGTGAGAGGGAAACATTGGTTGCCTCCCGCACGCACCTGACCAGGAATGGGACCCACAATCTGGGCATGTGCCCTGACTGGGAATGGAACCCCGGTCAAAGCTCCAACCAACTGAGCTACACTGGCCAGGGCTACGACACCTCATGTTTTATAGGCAAAACAAAAGGTGTTATTTAAAACATGGAAATCTGTCGGTGTGACTGACCGTGGTACTGTCATCAGTGTTTCGAAGCTGTTTGAATTGTAGATGAAAATATAACTGAGCCCGACTGGTGTGGCTCAGTGGTTGAGCATCGATTTATGAACCAGGAGGTCACGGTTCGATTGCCAGTCAGGGCACAGGCACAGGTTGCCGGCTCGATCCCCAGTGGGGGGCGTGCAGGAGGCAGCCGATCCATGATTCTCTCTCATCATTGATGTTTCTCTCTCTCTCCCTCTCCCTTCCTCTCTGCAATCAGTAAAAATATTTTTTTTTAAATAATAAATAAAGCTCATTCCAGAGGCTCCTGCCAGTTGGAGTGGAAGGGGCAAGAGTGGAGTAAGTATTCAGACAAGAGGAGGAATGTGGGCCTGATGCTGGAGGGATCTCGAGGACAGAGACTGTGCGGGTGTCTTGTTCAAGGCCAAGGAGAGGGGCAGCTCCATCTCTTTATTTTGACAACAGTCTCCATCGTCGCTGCAGGCCCGCCCCTCCTCACTACAACAAAACCTGCACCAAGGGCTTCAGCTTGTCCTTCATGGCAGTGTCCACTGGCGGCAGGTCCTTGGCCTTCATGACCACCTCGTGGGCCTCCTGGAAGAGGTCCTCCCCGACCTCCGCCTCCACGCGCTGGCGCCAGGCCGCCAGCTTGGGGCGGGTTTTGAAGACGTGGCAGCCGGCGCTGACAGGCTGAGGGGAGAGGGAGCTGTAAGGCGGCTGACCCGGTTTAGGGACCCACCGGGTGGACTTTGCTCCCCTGCCCCCTGTGTGACAGGCTGGGGGTCCCCTCCCAGGAGACACTGAGAAAGGCCCGGATATCCCTGCAGGGCGGGGTTTTAAAGTCCCATTTTACAGATGAGGACACTGAGACGCAGAGGAGGAAGTAACACGCCCTGGGTCCGCAGCCAGGAAGGGCAGCGTGAGCTGGTACACTGGCTCCTCCCGGGCACCCCACGCCCCATGCGCCCCCCTCCCCCCCGGGCACTCACGTGCATCAGCTCTGTGATGGCCACCAAGTCGGCCACCGAGATGCAGGGCCCCGCCAGGAAGTCATCGTCCTTCAGGAACTTGTCCTCAAGCAGCTGCAGGCACCTGTCCAGCTCGGCCAGAGTAGATGCCAATGTCTCGGGGGGCACCGGCTCGCCAAGGAACACAGGGAGCATCATCTGGTGGGGGGCAGGCAGGAGCGGGCTGAGGTTCCGCCCAAAGCCCAGCCTAGCTTCTCCTTGCTCCCGCCCGCCCCTTTCCACCCACAGCCGCCACCACCGGCCCAGGCCTCATCTCCCCCTCACGCAGGGCCAGCCTCCACCCTCCCTAGATGCTCACAGAGCCGCTGGAGAGCCCTCTGCAATCTCAGGCTGCCCGTCCCTTCTCGCTGCAGCAAGCCTTCCGGGGCTCCCACTGTCCTCCCACAAAGGCCTCACCACCAGCCCCACTGGTGCAGCCGCCACCCGCTCCCCCACCCTCCACCTCCGACCCCACCCAGACTTCTCACAGGGGCATGCGCCTGGGACTCGCTCTGGAATATGGTCCCAGAGCTCATTCCTACGTCGTGTGCTTGGGGGGGGCCGGAGACTCGGCATGTCCGTGAGCTCCCAGGTGCCGCTGACGCTCCTGGTCTGCGGACCAGCCTTTTGGGGAGCAAAGGTCTACACTCGCTCTGCTTGACTTCTCTCCCTTCTGCACGGAGAGGCTCCTGCCCCCTCCAGCTTGAGTGGGCTCCTCGCCAGCCCCTAGCAGCTCAAGGAGGACTCTTTTTCTTAACTATATCTTTACTGATTTCAGAGAGGAGGGGAGAGGGAGAAGGATAGAAACATCAATGATGAGAATCCTCAGCTGCCTCCTGCACGCCCCACACTGGGGATCGAGCCCAAAACCCAGGCATGTGCCCTGACCGGGAATCAAACCGTGACCTCCTGGTTCCTAGGTCGACGTTTAACCGCTGAGCCACGCCGGCCGGGCTGAACAGAATGTTTTGAACAGAAGGCGCCATCCCCTGAGGACCCAGGCAGGGTCCCTGCCCCCAGGCTCACCTTCTGCCACATGACCATGGAACAGCTGCTCCGAAGAGCCGTGTGCTGCCATGCCAAGTACTCGTCCACACGGGCGCAGGCTTCCAGGTCCTGGGGGTACCAGTGGTCAGGGGCCTCATACTTCCGGCTAAGATACAGCAGGATGGCCACACTGGGAGGGACAGCAGGGGCGGGGAGAGGTCCCGGTCACTTCTCAGCTACTCTCCAGGGGCCAGGCCCTGGGTGGGATAGGCCTCGGCTCCTGGCCTGTGTGTCCCCATGTGGGCGACGCGTTTCACCATCTCCAGGTGCAGAGTAGGAATGTGAGGCTCAGAGAGGTTAGGGGATCTCCCCAAGGTCACACAGCGCTACGCTGAGCTATCCTATCATCTGAACTAAGGGCACAAAGTAAAAAACAAACACGTTACGGGATTTCAGAAGGGGGGTGTGTGCTCAGAGAAAGCTTCCTCAAAAAGGGGGGGCACCCAGATGGGCCCTGAAGGTGAGAGCCACGCACCCAGCACCCAGCACCCAGTACCACTCCCCAGCAGAGTCAAAGCATGGACACAACAGGAGCAATGCCAGGTGCCCCTCCCAGGCCTGGCATCTCCGCCCACTTCAAGCCACTCTCCATCCTGGGGCGGGCACAGCTGCTCACGGAACATAAACCATGTCCCAAGCTATGGGCAGTGAGCACACAGGGGGCCGGCCCCCCAAGGCCAGGCAGCAGTTCAGGGGCCATTACCTCTCGGCCAGGGTGAAGTCCCCATCCTTCAAGGCTGGCACCTTCCTCAGGGGGTTCACCTGGGCAAAGTCATCGCTGTTGTGCTGACCTGTGGGAGAGAGCAGTGAGGCAGGGGGGGAAGCCTGAATCCTCTGAGGTCTCTGGCCACGCCCACCCAGCAGCCAGAATCTTTCTTTTTAAAAAAAAATATATTTTTTATTAATTTCAGAGAGGAAGGGAGAGGGAGAGAGAAACATCAATGAGGAGAGAGAATCATCGACCAGCTGCCTCCTGCACACCCACCCCCACCCCCCCCCGGGGATGGAGCCCGCAACCCGGGCATGTGCCTCAACCAGGAATTGAACCGTGACCTCCTGGTTCATAGGTCAATGCTCAACCACTGAGCCACACCGACCGGACCATCCAGGATCTTTCTGAGGCCCCTATCCAAGCGGGGCACCAGGGAAGAGGACGCCACCCTACTGTCCCCTGACCCTCCCAGGGGGCCACCACTCCTGTGTCACCTCCTTGCACCTGGGCCAAGCAGCACCATGGCTCGGCCCCGCAGGAAGATGACGCACATCCCTGTAGCCAGCCGATTCCAT